CCTGCTTCAAGGCTTCCAAAATCACCTGGCGCTCCGCTCTCGGCACCGTCTGGCACCGTCCTCCCAGGGCGCCAAAACGGGCGCGGATCGGAAAACCTTTGGCAGTCAGTTCGACTACTGACCAGCCACATCTTGTAAGCTCTGGAATTCCAGTAGCTTGGCCGCTACCGTGTGTATACAGCCTCGGCCCCCAAGGAAGATGACACGCACCCCAGGTCCTGACAGGGACAGCGCTAGGAGCGGGCCCGACGCAGATAGGAAAGATGGGAAGCCCATAGGCCAGCTCGACGGTGTCAAAATCGGGCGGCAGACCCCTAGCCGAATCGATCATCTTCTGCCGCTGCTCCTTCGCTTCGCTGGGGAGTGGATGTGCAGCGTCGGGATCCTCATCGCCTTGTTGCCACACCTTATCGCAGCCGAAATACTGGTGTCCGGATGTGCCCTCGGCCTCGCCACAGAACTGACATTTCGATATGTTGGAACATCCCATCGCGAATTTTCGCGCTGGGGGGGGGGCACAGTCCCCCCCCCGGGAAGGCGCCTCAAAGTCCCCTTTGTGCACAGGATCTCGCACCGAGTTCAAGGCCAAACGAAGCGCCCGACCCCAAACCTGCTCGGATCCGTGCGCCTCCGGGGCGGTAGAAAGCAGCTGCAGCATTGTGGGCTCGATGGGATGCCCTCTCTGAGCTCCTGCCTTACAGTGAGCGGCTTGAATAAGGAACACTTACTTTTCAAAAGGGGCTCGGTCGTTCCTTAGGTTTGCATGCGTTATTTGCATTTCCTTCTGCGTTATGTATTATTTATCGTTCCTGATGCGTTATTCCTTGGGATAGAAAAGGGGCTTCGTTCCTTATTTATCTTTCCTTAGGTCAGGCCGATGACTGTACATCACAGGGAGAGGTTACTAAGGTAAAACGCCCCGACGGGGCCCCGCGCGAACCTCCAAAAGGGCGGCTAAGACAGCGTTGCGTGAGCCTTTTTGCCAGGCCCGCAACAAATCAACATCGCTCACCCTACGATCCCAGACCCAACAGCAGTAACGAAACACTATCGGAACCGTCGCGTCCACCACGGGATCGTAGTTGGGATCGCGATGGGTGGCGATGGGTGGCGAGGCAGGCTGCATGATGCACCCTGCCTCGGGCTCACCATGAGCTCGGCAGCGCACGCAGCGATCGGACCGCCTCGAAGAACACCTCGGCCCCCGCGGCTACTGGCCCTTCCCACTGCAGCGAGACGTCGCCCATGGGGGCACGAACCTTCACTGCAGGGAGTCTCCTGGCCGTCTCTCCCACGGGCGCCAGGAGCACAGCAGGCATCACGGCACAAGCATGTGAGCACCCCGCCAGGATGCCCTGGAAAGAGTTGTAGCTTTCGCTCAAACTCCCGAAAGCGTCTATTCGTCGGAGGGCGGCGTAGCACCGAATAAGCATCCGCCCCAGACGAAGGGGGAATCCTACCTGTCGGAACATCTCAAGCGAGACCGAAAGTTTGATTGTTTCACAGCACTTGGCCATATCCAGCAGCACATTGATCCAATGGAGATCCTTAGCCTTAGCTGCTTCCGCCGAAAGTATCACATCAAATGCCGAATCGCTAGAACGCCGCCCCTTCCCACTCCCCCAGAACTCGTCCGTTCTATAATCGCGCTCCCAGCGCTCTTAAACAGGCCGTCGAAGCTTGCGCCATACGCGGATGAACGTGTCCAGCAACGCTATCAAACGGTGCCCACCGTCGGGCTTAGCTAAACGGATTAGCCTACTGACCAACCGACGATCGGGCCAGCACAGACACGCTTCACATTGATGCAGCAATGCGGCAAAGGCCCCGAGGGCCTCATCGGACAAGTACATCGGCGACCGAGGATGTATTTGACAGCACCCTACCACCGTGCGCTCAGGAAACTTCAAAATGGCAGCCCGAAGATCAGAAACTGAAACCTCAGGGGGGGGGATCCCAAAGATGCGCGTCTCCAGGAATCTCTGGCTGGGAGCACCCGTGGGTAGCCTAAATATCCCCCCACTCCGACATCATCATCCGAGAGCTCACGGGGTTGGGCCCTTCGGGTGGCTCCGATGACCTCCTGGGTCGCACGGGCCTTCGAGAACCGATGGGCCCCTCGGGCTCCCCCCGCAAAACTATCTCGGACACACTTTTGCCAAACTCTATTGTTGTTTCTCGGCAAGATGGGCCGCTTCGTGCTCGGCGGCGCGATCCAAAATACGCTGCGCTAAATCATGGAAAGCGGGATCGGCCAGGGCCGACAAGCCGGCCTTGAAGAAGCCGCTCGAGAGCGAGTCCAACTGGCAGTGCACCCACTCCAGCTTGGCGATGCGGCCGTAGAAGCGCTCCACGTCCAGCAGTATCTTGGCGACCCTGCGCACGCGCCTGTCCTGGTCCCCGTCGTCGAGGTCCAGCTTGGGCACGTAGGTGTGAAGCAGCATGTCAATCTGCCCCAGGTGAAGGGCCCACCTGGCCGCCATGCTCCAAGCCGCCTGCTCGGAGGTCACCTGCAGCACCTTGGGCTTCGGGACGAACTGCAGCCTCTTCCACACCACCTCGCGAGGTCCTTTGCGGCCCTCGTAGGCGCGGCGCTCACTCCCCATGATGTCGTGCGTGTCCAGCAGCTGGCGCTCCACTCCGTTTGAGAAGACGCCCCAATGCTCGCCCAAGTCAGCACCGCACTTGGCCGTCAGAACCTTCCCATGGAAGCGGTGCCATCGCCGTGGATACCTCGCACAACCTGGCTTCGCCATGGTCGGGATACGCCTGGGCGGACGAGCCACTCGGCACCACAGCTTGGTGTCCGCTCCCAGCAAGCCCAACTGCACTGGCTTGTGCGGAGCGGTGTCCACATCATCCAACATAACTGCTGGGCTGGCGCGAAAAGCCAGGTTCGCACTGATGACAAAGTAGTCTATGGTCGTGCCTGGGACCGATTGCAGACGGGTGGCCGCTGATGGAGCCGGCATAATTCCACCAACCACCTCGGCCCAGCTGCCCAAGGTCCCTGGCTCCATCTGCAAATCGCCGCCGATGACCCACTCCCGGCCGAGCTCATGCAACTGGGCGCAGTGCTGTGCGCCCTCTGCCAAGAGCGCCGTGTGGAAGGCGCCCATCTGGCCACCCACGTGCAAGTACATAGAGCGAACTCGCGATGACTCCGCCCCTGACCACCGAGTGCACATGCCCTGCCACGGCACGTGCTGGCGCCAACTGCCCTCCTGCCACGAGGGGCGGCTCGGGCAACGTCTCATTCCAGTAGTGTTCCTGCACACAAAGAATCATGGCCTCCTTGTCGAGCGAAACCGAAGACTTCTTCGCCTCCAGCACCTTACAGAGGGGACCGTGACTCGTAGCATTAGTTGCTACAACTCTGACCATGGCTAATAAGTGGAAGAGCATTGCCACAATTCGACGAGTCAGAAAGGCCCGCCTTCGCTGAGGCAAGCCTGGCCTTCTTCGCGAAGCCCACCAGCTGTTCACCTGCTCGTTTGGCTGCCTCTCGAAGTTCTTCGTCTGTGTCTGGCACACCAGCGTTGACACTTTTGAGAAACTCTCGTAGAACATCCGCATCAGCATCAGCAGCTCTTGGAATCCATTCAGACCCAGAGCAAGGGTTGGCGCTGCCACCGCCTGCATCGGCCGCGGCTCGCTCAGCGGCTGCTGCTGCCTGCTTGGCGTCCTCGGCCTCGCGCTGCTCCCTGCGCGCCTGCTCGGCGTCCCGCACCTCCGCGAGCACGCTGTGCAGGTTCTTCGCCATCGCCTCAGAAGCGCCGAACCCCTGCAAGATCGAGCCAAGCTGCTCGACCGACAGCTCGGTGCTGGCCCCGAGCACCTGGCCCAGCGACTGCGGCTTCCTTTCCTGTGCCTCTGGCGGCTGAGGGGCCTCCGCAACGAGCCAACGCCGCTGCTCCTCGGGCGCCAGCAACTTTGCCTTGGTGCCGTCGGGCGCGGTGGAGGCCTCACGTAAAGCCTTCTGCGCCTCCTGCACTTTGCCCTCCAGCTCCTGCAACTGGTCCTGCTGTCGTTTAGCGTTGGCCTCCAGCTTCGAGTGCTCGAAGGACATCTCCTTGAGCCGCATATCGAGCGGCTTCGACTCCGTCCACTGCTGGCGAAGCCTTGCCTGCTTCTCGCGAAGCTGACGACAGGCCTCCTGCACCTTATCCGACTTGACATCCTTGATCGCGTCGATGTGTGCCGCAAGTTCAGACAACTGCTGCTTGATGTCGCTGGGGGCGCCCACGTCATCTCCGTCGACCTCCATGGCTGACGGCACCTCAGGCGGGGCCTTGGCGACTTGAGCCCGCAATTTGACCAACTCCTGCTGACGCTGACGCAAACTGCTGCTCCACCTTCGACTGCCCAGGCGCATGCACAACACTCTGCGACGGGGCTGAAGGCTTTCGAACTCCTCCAGAGGCGGTGGACTTGTGCTGATGGCATTTGCTGCATTCCAACAAATCAGCTCGGGTCCACCACTGCTCTCCATTCTTGTTCCAACACTGTTTGCACACCCACGGCGACGCCCACGCCTTCCGAGCTTGTTGGTGCCCCGAGAGCAAGGGCCCTCCAGCTCGTCCTTGCGGTGCCATCTGGCGCGGCCTCTCGGCGTCGCCGACGTCGTTTACAGAGCGGGAAGAGATGCGGGCTAACCGCAGTACTGTATCGAAGATGTGGCGTCGCCAGGGGCGACGGAAGCTGTGGGGGCCGTCCTTCCCCCTTGCCAGGCGACTCCTGTCCTTGAGCGAAACGCTACGGACTTGAGCCGAAATGGCTACGGAGGAGGAGGAGGAGGAGGAGGAGGAGGAGGAGGAGGAGGAGCAGGAGCAGGAGGAGGAGGAGGAGGAGGAGGGAGGAGGGAGGGAAAGGGAGGAGGAGGAGGAGGAGGAGGAGGAGGGAGGGGGAGGGAGGAGAGGAGGGAGGGGGGGGGGAGGAGGGAGGAGGGAGGGGGGAGGGAGGAGGGAGGAGGGTGACGAGTTCCTGCCCCTGCCGCGCAG